AAAGTCCAAACAGGATTTCTGAGGCAAAGATCACAGTGTAGCTGAAGCTTTAGCATCAATGGGATGTAATTTTCCCATTTAACCTAATGTGTCTCTTAATAAGACTTTATTTTTATGTATGACGATCCTGTGCGCTGAGTGGGGCAAAGGGCCTGCCAAACTGCCATGCTCCTCGTGAGGTCAGCTCAAACAACAGTGCTGCGCAGAGAAAAGTCGTGTCAGACTTTGTGTGAGGGCACAACAACTGGGTGGTACTCATCAGTCCTAACTCAACAGGTCCTGTAGGCCCCAGGCTTTGTCTGAGTTAGGTCTGCGTCAAAATAGAAAGTAGACTTAAAGATCTGACTGTTTGTCATGTTTTGCCAAATCAGCTGTGTCTCTATTAAAAAAGTTAATCCCATTATTTTTCTCACTATTAAGTTTTAGGAGATGTCTGCTTCTTCCATTATATTAAAAATTAGCAAAGAGTTTGCATGGGTGGCTAATCCACAAACTAGAAATGTAGGCCTGCTGATCACCTCTAAGCAAGCAGTAGCCTGGGTAGAGAAGGTTTCAGAAATACTCCCTGAAAATACAAGGAGTTTCAATCTATCGCAGTTGGACCAGATGATCCAAGGTCCCTTGCAGGTCCCTTCCAACTATTCTTCTCTTCTCTTCTCTTCTCTTCTCTTCTCTTCTCTTCTCTTCTCTTCTCTTCTCTTCTCTTCTCTTCTCTTCTCTTCTCTTCTCTTCTCTTCTCTTCTCTTCTCTTCTCTTCTCTTCTCTTCTCTTCTCTTCTCTTCTCTTCTCTTCTCTTCTCTTCTCTTCTCTTCTCTTCTCTTCTCTTCTCTTCTCTTCTCTTCTCTTCTCTTCTCTTCTCTTCTCTTCTCTTCTCTTCTCTTCTCTTCTCTTCTCTTCTCTTCTCTTCTCTTCTCTTCTCTTCTCTTCTCTTCTCTTCTCTTCTCTTCTCTTCTCTTCTCTTCTCTTCTCTTCTCTTCTCTTCTCTTCTCTTCTCTTCTCTTCTCTTCTCTTCTCTTCTCTTCTCTTCTCTTCTCTTCTCTTCTCTTCTCTTCTCTTCTCTTCTCTTCTCTTCTCTTCTCTTCTCTTCTCTTCTCTTCTCTTCTCTTCTCTTCTCTTCTCTTCTCTTCTCTTCTCTTCTCTTCTCTTCTCTTCTCTTCTCTTCTCTTCTCTTCTCTTCTCTTCTCTTCTCTTCTCTTCTCTTCTCTTCTCTTCTCTTCTCTTCTCTTCTCTTCTCTTCTCTTCTCTTCTCTTCTCTTCTCTTCTCTTCTCTTCTCTTCTCTTCTTATTCTATGTAACTGTAGCAAGCCATCGTCAGATACAGGGTGAGCAGGGGACTAGGATAGGACCAAACTGGTAGTGAAGATGGCCACAGCTTCTTGGATAATGAATATGGAGGAGTCTCCATAGCAGGCAGGGAAGAAATCATACACCGTGTGAACACGTACTGTGTAAAAATGACAAAGCTCTAGCACAGAGCTTATGGCTGACCTGGAAAGACATTTTCTAGGGACTCTTGATGTTATGTACTTATCCTCTGCTTACTTAAAAACTGTAGCCAGTATCTGAATTATCACAAGCAGGATATTAAAAACTCTTTAAAATTTTCCTCTTTTGTTTTAAAATGAAACTAGAAAATACCTCTTAATTATATTGCATTAATTTCAGTACATCACAAGGCTTAATAAGTATGGCCCAAACTCCTTGCTGGAGAGGCTCCTTTTGAGCATTTGTTCTTATAATTACTCCTGCCAGCATGCCATATGGTCGATGAATATCACACTTCCAGATCTGAGTACGTATTTCCTAGAAAGGGAAAATAAGGTATAGAGAGATTCCCCTTGGACCCTACAGAAAAATAAGGTTCAAAAGCAGAGCTAGAGCACAAGAGCTTCCAGCTCCCCTCTGTGGCATATGTCACCAGTAACTATGGTGGAAAGAAATTAGCACTCAAGAGCAGGGAACCGCTTTCCAAGAATAATTCTTTCCTTATGCTACATAAATAATGGTATCAGCTACCACATTAGTTCATGTTACAGGACAGAAGAAAAAATAACTTGCTTCAGACTGCAATTGAAATGAAGGTTTTGCTCTTGTCAGACTCCTGTTAGAATTTGTATCTGCACCTAACAGCTTCAGGAGAGCTTTTGTGATTTACGTTTTCGAGAAGAACCATTCCAGGAAGCTCTCAAGGTTACTATTTCTTTAAGCACTGAATTAGCCTCTTTAGTCGAGCTAAAGATTTATTTCTACCTTTGAGCTAGAGTGTTATTTTCCCTTCCCAGGCATCCACAGCTGTTTAAGTGCCTGCTGATACCAGAATTTTCAGCCGCCACATTTAGGTTTGGAGTCTTCATCCTTTGTGTGACCCTCCTGTGCTGAGTATCTATGTCTGTTGCTGATGTCTTATGGGGAAAAATGGAGGTGTCAGACGAGCCACAGATGCACGCTGCAAGCCTGACCCTGACCCCGGTGGTGGCTGAGCTCAGAGACAGGCTCTGCAGGGGACGGGAACGCTCCTTTTCCAGCCTTCAGTGATCACGCAGAGACACCTGAGCATCCATGCCACAGGCTCCCAAATTCAGTGGCTCTTTATGAGGCCCTTCCTCCCTTAAAACTCTGGGTTCATGCAAGTTCGGGACAAACCTGCCATGTATGTGCTGAGTAGTGCAGTGATCTCATGCAACAGCATTAAATCAGCCCAGTAAAGGACACTTTTTGATTATTTTCAAGTTCTGTCCATATTTTGCAGGTGTCCAGCCTCCTGGTCCAGAACTATGATTGTTGTTAATTCTAAGGCGTCGTTCTTGACTCTCTCTCCAATTCTTAGATGCAGTCTTGCCAACCTCACAGTCACATACTGCAGCCATTTACCAAATGCTTATAAACATTAACAGGAATACACCATACCCATGCATACAAACACACAACACCATGCAGAAACTACGCTTGAGGACAACTGTGAAATCAGCGCTGCAAAAGACAACTCAAAAAGTGTTATTTATTTTCTCACAGGGATTTTTTTTCATAATACTACATAAATGCTAGCTTTTTTGCCTTTGATTTTTTCATGGCTTCTTAAATCAAGAACAGAACTCCAGGCCTGTACAGGGCAATTTTTCTTAGATCTACAAAGAAGATGTGGTGGCACATACTGTTTAAGGATCCGATCTAGGATATTCAGGATTCACTGGCAGGGTTTGCTGGCTGTTTGGGCTGGTTCTGCTTGACTCCACGATTATGAACATCTTTTTTAATTACGTTTCCTAAAAGTGTCTCATTAATTTCCAGTTCAGTAGGAAGAGGGCAAAGCAGACCATCCACATAAGCAGAGGACAGCCAGCTCTGCTCATGGCAAAGCTGGAGTCCGGTGGCTTGTGTACTACCTCCCCTCCGCATTTCACTTGCACCACTTACCCAGACACAGGGTGACTTTTACATACTTCGGGGACATTAATTAACTAATTTCACTCCTGTGAAGGAGCTGCTAATTGCTGTTATACTCAGTTTACAGCTGGTTTCACTGAGGTCCTGGAGGAAAGCAATTTCCTCAGCCTTCCCGAGCAGAGTGATAGTGCCAAGGACTGAGCCCACACTGAGACCTATTGCCCACCATTAATCCCTGCTGAAGCAGTTAAGCACTGAAAACACTCAACATCTTTTAAGGGTAGTCCTCAGCACTAGAAAGGATCAGGCCCAAGTGAGGCTAAGGAAAAGCAGCACACCAAGCACAACAGCCCAAGAAGGTCCCAGCTGGGGTCAGATGCCTGCTCCAATCGCCCTCAGCTCCTGTTGCATGCAAAGCTGATAATGACATAACTAATAGGTAATTATGACGAGAGGAAGGGGAAAACGGTGCAGTGAATGCTAGCAGAATTCATAAAGTTAAATGCCAGTACAATAGAGTATGAGTACAAAATAATAGTTTAGTTCCTGGCTACCTGCTGTGTTCAGGCTGAACAAAAGACAAAGTAATATCTTCAGAATGTATTTGTGAAGACAACTGTTCCTTATTATAAGATAAAATTGTAACAGTTTATTTTATTTAATTAGTACTCATTTGTTCTAGTATGTTAAGAGGCTAATATGCATACAAATTGATCTCGCATCTTTGGACAAATGGCACCATAAATATTACATTGTAAAAGAAGAAGCAAAGATGTGAGCACTGGACTCTCTCTCATCAAGCTGAATTGAATCTCACAGAAATACTCTGTAATTTATAGCACAGGCATGTTGGTAGGCAGCAGAGATGGTGACACGTACAAGCAATTAGGGTTAAAAGCGTATATGGACCAATTTGTAGCTGTACTATCCCAGGAGAGACCCAGAGGAGGAATGACACCTCTGAGGCACACCTTCTTCCCTCTGTACCAACCTACCTCCAGCTGAAAAAGGAGAGCTTCACTCCCCATCAGCGTGCACAGGCTGCTCCCACCCATTCCTCCCTCCCCGGCAGCGGCTCTGGCTGCTCCCTGAGGGATGAGCCATGCTCCCCTGCATCGAGGTACTGATGGGAAGTTTCCATGCTCCTCTTTTTCCCATCCCAGTGCCCCTGTAAGGCAAAGCTAGCGTCTGTGGGGAAGCACTGGCTGCTGCAGGAGGCTTGCTTCCCTCTCGTACGTACACATATACACATATGAACC